TCACTGTTTATTTGCACCTGCTCTTCAGCCCAGAACTGAAGGAGCACTGATGTATGAGAGTTTCATTTCACTTATTATAGGCAGACGCATCTTTCCAACGCCAGCAAGCTAGACATTCCAAGTTGCTACTCCACCTACCAACCTTGAAATTACACCACAGGATCAGCCTTGTTGCTCTGCCCCCGCTTGAGCAGCCCCACATACCTGCACTACATCCCCTCTACCATCCGAACCTCAACACACCACATCACTCATGTTTGCTGTATCATCCAGACCAATGGACCTGGAATGGCAGTTACCATGAACCACGGTGTTTTTACCCTCCAGACCACAGTGTTTTACTCTCCAAAGCACGAATTACACCTCCCAAAATTACAGTTTTATAACTTCCGAACCACAAATTTACACCTTACGAACCACGACCACAGGGCAAGCAGCAGTGATGCACACAGTAGTCGCTCACACTGCACCAGGAACGCCCTGGTATGGGGGGGGAGGGGGGGAAGAGGAGAAGGGGGGGGGAAGGGAAGGGGGAAAGGGAGGTTGGGGCAAGCAGCAGTGTCCACACAGTAGTCGCTCACACTGCCCAGGAACGCCCTGGTAGGGGGAGGAGGGGGTGGGGAGGAGTAATGGAGGTTATGGCATGGCATGGTGCACACATAACAGAGGTCGCTCACATGCTGGGAAAGTCCTGCCATGAGAGTTGCATGTAGCATGGAGCCGCCCATGAATGCCGCATCACATGGAGCACACATAAATGCCGCATTCACATGGAGCACACATGACTGCCGCATCACATGGAGCCACACATGAATGCCGCATCACAATGGAGCACACATGAATGCCGCATCACATGGAGCACACATGAATGCCGCATCACATGGAGCACACATGAATGCCGCATCACATGGAGCGCCCATGAATGCCGCATCACATGGAGCAGCAGTTGCTCATGCTGCTGACAACTCACATACGTCTTGAACCATTTTCCACGAGAGTTGAAAATTTCACAAACATCCAACATTATGGTCAAACATCTCTTCGCTTCAATGCGTTCTGAGATGTTTCACCAAGTGGTTTGAGACCCCATCAGCACGCACCCCATCAGCACGTACCCATCCAACACATTCCCCATCAATACGTACCTCTTGACGGTGCCGTGGCCATGGATTGATGTTGTCAACAGCCACAAATGTTTTGAAGCCCCCTTCAAGACGCACCTCTTGACAGTGCCCGTAGCCATGGCTGCCAATCACCAGCAGCTGCATGCCCAACTGCTGGCAACATCAAAAGCACCCACCTTTCAACAATACTGTTGCCTGTCAGATGCTCACCTCTTGGGCGCAGCATCATTGCCTCGAGTGTACATCGATAACATGTGCTGAGACCCAGTAGCAACCATGGCCGTATCAATGGCCATTACGCAACTCTTGACGCCGTCTGGACCGGCCATTCGCCATTCATTTCCAGGTGAAGATAGCCATGGCTGTCAATCACTTACAGTGCTGCCAGTCTGATGCTCACCTCTTCACGGTAACCGTAGCCATGGCTGCCAATCACCAAGCAGCTGCACGCCCAGCTGCTCCACGGCAATCACAGATGGACTCCCTGGGCTCGCCCTCTATCACGTCCGCCTCGGCTGATACCTGTGAGATGCGGTGGAGAGGGATGGGGAGGGATAGGAGATTCACTGGGGGGCATGAATGCTGCACCTCTCCCTGGCCTCAGCTGGTCACTGTAAAACTTTAGTCTCCTCTGCTATAAGCTGTTCTCTTTCTTTCATTCTTTGCATTTCACCTCCTTCTCCCCTCCTCTTCCCCCCCTTCTACCCCCTTCCACCCCCTGCCACCCCCTTCCACCCCCCTTCCCCCCCCCTCTTTTCCCCCTTTCCGCACCTTGAACTGCTCGCACATGGCCTTGGCAGCGCGCAGCACCTGGCGACTGACGGCCTCCTCCTGCTTCTTCATCGTCTCCACCACCTCCGGCGGCACGTAGAACCCTGCACCAGCACACCAAACCGGGCTGGGGGGAGATTGGTGAGGGACAAGCCAGTGGAGACAAGAGGCGTGTAGCTACTCGAGTAAGCGGCGCGCAGCACCTGGCGGCTGACAGCCTCCTCCTGCTAAGGGGGCATTGGTGAGTTGCCTTCAACCACACAAGGGGGGTTGGTTGGCTTGCATGGACTAGAGACTGACAGCCTCCTCCTGCTTCTTCATTGTCTCCACCACCTCTCGAAACACGGTAAAACCCTGCACCAGTGGAAACCGACCCGGGCTAGGGGGGCATTGGTGAGGGAAGGGACTAGCCAGTAGAGGCAAGCGGCGTGCTTCAACTACACACGGGGCTTGCTAGTTGACTTTTGAGTCGACTCAAAAGTCAACATGGGCTTGCTCTGCTCTGCATGGACCATAGGCTCGCAGCCTCCTCCTGCTTCTTCATCATCTCAACCACCTCCGGCGATATTGACTTTTGAGAATACTCTAAAGTCACTCGAATATTGCTTCTTCATCGTCTCCACCACCTCCGACGGCACGCAGAACCCTGCACCAGCGGAACCAAAGCGGGCTGGGGGGGCATTGGTGAGTTACCCTTGAAAGATTCAAAAGGCTTGTTTCGCATGATTGAACCTGCAGCGAAACCCGACACGGCTGGGAGGTGTAATGAGTTGCTTACGTGCACAACGGGCGTGCACAACGGGCGTGCCGTCTTCTAGAGACTGCCAGGTTTGAAACACACGAGGAACCAAGCCTGGCACGTAGAACCCCGAAGGGGACCTAAACCGGGCTGGATTAGATGCTTGCAAAAAAAAAACAAAAAAACACTCCACGAAGACAGGTTCTGCTTCATTCCACCACGGTAACATTCCAACCCGCAGGAGACGTCTCTCTTGGCAAATATAATCTTCTAGAACCATCTCCCTTTGCTGATTAAAAACATCAACAAATCTCCTCTCTCTGCAATTCTAACCCTCAGCAATCGTTCTGCTGTGCAATTCTGACCCATGTGCGTCGCATGTGAGAGAATCTCGGCTTCAGCTGCAAGTGAGACAGCTTCCTAATCCCCCTCCTCCACTTTCCAAAGGTATCGCCAGGCAGAATAAGGTCTTCTTACCTGGACCCGCGGGTCCTGCGTAAACTTTCGGGTACGGCTGCGCGTGTAGCAGGTGAACCTTGTCCTCCGCTTGTATCACATTCTCGAGAGCCCACTTTAACGCGTACGAGCTCTCGTCGCTCGGGTCCACCGCTACGAGAATCTTCCGCGATTTCTTCAGCGGCGCGCTCTCGTCTCCGGCCGTGGTCCCAACGGTCACCTCGTCCGGCTTCGCGGCAGCAGCGTCGGTCGACATGCTCAGGAGGCGTCCTCCTGCGCGTTCGCTTTAGGTATACGTAACAGATGAACGATATTTCGAAAGTGTTGCCGGAGGCGATCGAGAGAAGGTGTTAACGAGCTACAAGGCCTTTCCAATTAGGTGGCTAATTATGAACGTCAGATTCGGTACTAGGCTGAGACAGTTTTTCCACGTCGATGGCGTCAAAGGACAAGCTAAGAAACAAAAGCAAAATTAAGCAGAAAACTTGCAAGAAATCAAGCAGAGGTTAGCTCGTCGATGGGCATGTAATTGAAGGTTGAAGAAGCTAAGAATGAGCAAGAAAAGACAATGCTGGAGAAAGAAACAGGAGGTTCGTGCTCGCCTGCTGTGTTGGAACCTCGAATCCGATTTCTGACAGAAATGGGGAGATGTCTGTCACTATCTTTCCTTGAAACCTTTCCCGACCGTTTTCACGGAATAACAAACCGTAGATTAAAGTTCTTAACCAAGCAAAACAGTTAGCTCATTTGGCACACCCAACGGTACCTGCTGCTGTTCATGTCTTGTTGGCCGCACAGCTCAGCACATGCACAGCTCACACCGACGCTTATCCAGCACATTCGCTTATGTAAGCGCGAAACCCTGGCTGCTTTTACTACAGGTTGACGCAAAATGCTAGATGCGAATTTGGTTACTGGTCAGGTCGTAAGTGCAGAGATGTTGGTGAAACGCAAACACGTGGCCACTCATGACTCGAAAATTCTTGGATCCAACGGAGGCAAGGCGCGGAGCCCACGTGGAGTGAACCGTTGGGGTGTAGACTGAGGCCTTGTTCGGCAGGCGCATCAGAATCTAGGCTCGGGAATGAGCTCTGGTTCGGGAGTGTTGCAACATACCAGATAGTCAGGTTTGGGTCTGGTTCGTGTTTTGTCAATTTGTTGCAGGCTCGCGGAAGGAGTGTGTCACGTGTCCCACGACTGTCTGGTCTGCCCCGAGGGTTGCTGGGTAGGAACTTAACACTCCCAGAGCAAAATCGATGTTACGTGTTCAACCCTAATTTGGTGAAAAGTTTGGCGAATCTTCAATGCTGCCCCGCATCAGTGATGCGCGCATGGATTCCTCTCCACGACGCACCATGCGCGCATGACTGATGCGTCGGTTTGCCAGGGGAGGTTGGTTCCAGGAACAAGGTTTTGGCCCCAAACCGGGGGCCAAAAAGACCGTTCGGCAGTCAGACTGCTTTGATGCTCATGCGCCTATCCCGAACTATGATAGCCGATCAACCGCTTATCTCGGAAACATCTGGGGTGGTCGTTTTACTGCTTCCCATTCCCGAGCCTGTGCTCATGCGCCTGTCGAACAAGGCCTGAAAGGGGAGTTTCGTGATCGTTATTACTTGGCGAAACACTATTACAGCGGTAAACAAATCCATGTCTAAATCATCATCTATATCCGTTATGGGGATTAACGGCCCCATCACTCACACAATTCTCTCTACCAAGCCACAACGCATCATCAAATAGACTAGTCTGCCAAACAGATGCGAATGGGGCTCAGGTGAAGATAAAGCTTCCGCCAGGAACTACAGAATCCAGCACACACCACTCGCTGGTCAGTCCACCCACATCCATCTGATCCCAAGTGCCATGGCTTCACCAACTATCTGAAACGCCTCCATCACTGCCCAGCACCCTGCTACTGCTCGTATTCCTGGCAAATGTACTGAACCACATCTTTATCCGAAGTTAAAGCCCCTTTCACTGCTCGTACCCCTGCTGCATGTACTGATCCAAGTCCTTATCCAAATCCACTTCCGACACCTTCCCTTCACCACGTCCCCCCCTACCTCCCCTCCCTCGCCCCGCCCCACTTCCGCCTCCCCTCGCCCCCCCTCTTGCAGCCGTCTGCGCTCTGGTTACTGTACCAGGCCTCCCGCACCTCTAGGTCCCAATCCGAACATGGTCGCCCCAAACGCAGTCCTCGCAGCAGTAGCGCGCGTCCTCACACCCGCCGCCGCAACAACCGCACCCCCACGCCTTCCCGCAAACAATTCCCCCCCTGCCAACTCCCGCTGCTCCCCGCCCGCGCGCACCCCTCCCCCTCCCCGCAACTGCGCCCCCGGACCCCACGGCAAAGCGCAGGTTCGGCGGGACCTGAACCCCCTGGTTACCAGGAAACGTCAAGCGAGAGTGAACCGAGCCTGCACCAGTTGCACCCCCCGCAGCTCCTGCCTTCCCCTTCACGGCGCCAGCCCCGCCGGGAAAGGTGAGACGCGACTGTATGGGCGGGGTTGCTGGTACCGCTGCGGCCGCGGCGGGCTTTTTCGCCGATGACGTGGCAGCTGCGGGTTTGCTCCTCGATTTAGACCCGTTCGCTGCAGTGCTGCTGGGGCGGGTGCTCCCGCCTCCCCCTGTTTGCTTTCCGCCTGCACGCGCGGAAGCGGACGGGGGAGCGGAAGGAGCGGCGGCAGAAGATACTTTCCGCTGCGCAGCTAGAGCCGATTGCCGTGCTTCGGCTTGGCGCGCTTTTGCCTCCGCACGACGGACGCTTTGACTGCGCTGGGCGGATAGAGCGCGAAACCGTTCGTCAAGAGTTTTCATCGTGTCGTTAGGGTTTGCATACGCGGCTTGCGTGGCGAAGGGAGGCTGTGCGACAACGACGCGACGTGCGGGGCCGTGTTGTGCGACTGCCATGCCTGGTGGTGCAGAGAAGTGAGAGAGTGGAACTGCCATCGGCTGTGGCGCGTCGTCAGGGCCATTGCGAACGGTTACGAACATGGCGGCGAGGTTAGAGGCGAAACGCGAGGGAGATTGCGAAGCAGTAATATTATTGCAAAACTCGAGGTGAGGGGAAACACTCAAAACCGATCAGCCTAAACGCAATATGCTGGACACATGAAAGAATAGAACACGTATTCAATGCTCCGCTGAGTAAATCTACTGACGGCCGTTCCTGCTCAAGAGAACGCGAAATTCGAGGAAACTAGGCTCGATGAAGAAGCGGCAAAACCGGAGGCCCAACTGGAGAGCAAGAAACCGGAGCTAGAGGAGTCAAGGGAATGGGAGACCTAAGGAAAAGGAGGACCGATTTTCCCGACATGGAGACGGACGGGAAGGACCCAATCAGACGGATGTAGAGTCCGGTATACTGCGGTGGTAGCTGGTAGCATCCTGATCGTTGCGATTGGCGTTCTTGTTTCAAGTAATACACTTCGTCCGCGTTGGGGTCAGGCGAGGGGTTGGTGGGAGAGTGTTGACGTGGTTCGTTCTGGCGAATTGACGAAAAGCAACGTCGCGATGTGGGATTTCGTGGGGGTCCTCCTTCACAATCAAGCGACGTGATTTCTGGCGTAACCTGAAACATGGTTTTGTAACAACTCTGTTTGCGAACCCTCCACTCTTTCTGTTACAACTGCAGGGAACGCGCGAGACGTGAAAACTTTCGCGCGTTCGAATGTGTCAGAGGACGTCAGAACAACACCGAAACACTGATCAAGCACATCCGCTGCTATCACACAAAACCATCCCCAAGAATCTCTTCCTCGTCTTACAGTTACAGCCCTCCTCGGAGACTGGACTCGGACTGTGTTTCCTGAGCGGAGTCTAGCCGTGTGCTCCTCCAGAAGCTAGTTCGCTCCTCCAGGTTCGCTACAAAAGCGTAGCCGCTACGATTTTGTTCCAAAAAAGCGAAAGCGCTTAGCCTCTGTTTTCGATTCACCAACAGTGTGTGCAGGAGACACGCCGTTAGGTTGTCACTGTCCAACATTTGTTCCATGCGAGCATTTGGTGCTTCAGTCGTCATGCAATCAAGTCCTCGCTAGAACGACCAGACTTGTGCCAGCTTAGGAATGGCCGCATGGGTTTTCATGACGGCCCGAAGGACGTCGCCGGTAGGTCTAACGGCTGGGAGCCTCTAGTCGATTCGCCTTTCGTTAGAGTAATCGGCGAGAACGGATCAGGCAGTGCTCGTTCTTCGACCACACACGCCGGCCATTCAATACAATCACGTTCGTTACAAGGTCATATTCAACACTCGAATCCAACTCCCAGTTACGACAAGTCTTCCAAGGCCGGGTCTTTTGGAGTGATTCGTCGGGTGGGAAGCCGCGATAACCTCGATAAATCCACCACGCCGACAGCATTTATCGCGAATTTGTGTAACCAGAAGGCTTGGTTTGCGAGCTTCGCCAAGGATAGAAAACGTTTCGGAATTGTCGCAGCCATGGTCGCATGGGGTCGCGGTGCGACAGCAGCCGTGTTCGGGATAGGTAGAGGCCGGCATTCCCAAGGTGGACCCGATGGCGGGAAAAGCGGGTTACCACTAACATTTTCGGATAGCGATCGGTGGAAGACGAGCAATGGGTGCGGTTTCGCCGTGCTGGTAACCCGACGATGGGAGTCGCTGCTGGTGTGGGCGAGCAGTGGCGGAATTCGCTGGCTGGTCGCAGGCTTGGCTATCGCTATCATGTTTTCCAAGGCCCTTGCCGTGTGGCTACAGACGGTATGTGACTCTAACGTGATTATACAGAGCGGTTGAAGGCCGAGGGTCTGGAGGGATGAGAGGGAGGTGAGAATGTGATAGTATCCTACATTGAATGTGTTACTACCTGTGCCAATGAGTGCAAATGCGCGTGCTATTGTATGCTGCAGTCTTGGTGATGTTGACACGTCTCATTTCCACACTTCTCAGCCCTCCTCCGTTTTTTTCTCCCCCTCAGCTTCTTACTGGTCCATCCCCTTCCCGTACGCCCCCAACTCCCCCCTTGTCGCTTGTTTCGACCCTACCTCCCTGCCACCTCCCCTCGTCTCTCTCTCTCACCTCCTCTCTCCCTCCTCCCCTCCTTCCAATCCCTACTTTCTTTTCCGATCTTCCCTTTCTCCCTCTCCTTCCCTCTCCACCTCAGCTTCTGATCACCCCCCACTGCATCCTTCGGATCTGATGCCACCAACGTCCCTCTCTTTACCGAGATGCCTCGCCTTTGATCACCTAATACCGACCTCTTCCTACCCTCCACTATCTCTTGCCTTACTTTGTTCCCATTCAGCTTCTAATCGGCCCTACTGCTTCGTTTGGGTCAGACACCGCCTACTTTCCCCTCTACTCCGGTCAGGGGTGGCTCGCCTGTGAACCACCTTCAACAACCCTCTCCCTGCCCTCCACTCCCTCTTCTCTTCCCTTCTTCTCCCCCTCAGCTGCTGATCGGCCCCACTGCATCCTTTGGATCCGACACCGCCAACTTCCCCCTCTACTCCGAGGTGGCTCGCTGGTATGCCAGTGGAGTCACGGCCGTGCTTGCACTCATGGCCACCAAGGTGGGTTGGTGAGTTGGAGTGAGTGAGTGAGTGAGTGAGTGAGTATGTGTGTGTGTGTGTGTGTGTGTGTGTGTGTGTGTGTGTGTGTGTTGGCATGGCATGGGTGTGAGGCGAGGTAGTTGTAACTCTCATCCGAGGCACTGGTAGGCGAGGTTTGAGTAACTCTCCCCTCTGCTCCGATCCGAGGTGGCTCGCTGGTATGCGAGCTTGGTCACAGCCGTGCTTGCACTGATTGCCACCAAGGTGGGTGAAAGTAATAGGCTTGGTGGCATGTGCATGTGCATGTGCATGTGATGTGCATGTGCATGTGCATGTGATGTGCATGTGCTTGTGATGTGCATGTGCATGTGCATGTGATGTGCATGTGCATGTGATGTGCATGTGCATGTGATGTGCATGTGCATGTGCACGTGACTGCATGTGCATGTGAGTGCATGTGCACAAAAGTTCCTTCCCCTGAACTCCCCCATCTCATCAGTGCCTAGGTCGCCCCTCTTTCTTGCTCTGAGCCTTTTCAATGCTCCCGTCCTATTCCTTCTGTCATTCCTCCTCCCCCTAATTTATCCTCACTACCAGTCCCGACCCCATCTTCTCTCATCCCACACCCTCATTCTCCCTTTCTCAAACTGCTCCTGGGTCGCCCCATATTGTCTCCCCTCGCTGTCTTCTCCATCCTACCCTTCCCCTCCCTCTTGCCACCCCTGCTTCCCCCCTTCCAACAAGCAGCTCCTGGGCCGCCCCATACTCTCGCCAGTCCCCATCTACTCCTTTGCTGGCGCTGGTGCTGCCATCACCATCACGGCAGTGTGCATCAGAGAGGTACAGTCAGGTTGAAGAGGTGAATCCGAAAGGTGCAGCGTGGCTGAGAATGGTGGATCAGAGATGTGCAGTGCGGTTAAAGAGGTGAATTGGAGAGATATTGTGCAGTTGAGAGAGGTGGATCAGGGAAGTGCAGTACAGTGGAGGGAATGCATAGCTGGCGTGCTGCCAATGCCATAACAACAGTGTGCATCAGAGAGGGTGCAGTGCGGCTAAATGAGGCACATTTGAGGGGTATAGTGCTGCTGAGATGACATTGTTATAGGTCAATGTACTCCTAAGAGTGATAAGCGGTGCAGAGCAGTTGCGATAAGTGTATGTGTTGTTGAGAAATGGCACATGGGCAGGTGTTAGTAGGTAACCCTTTGACTACCTGTGCGTGATGAGACGATTTTTTAGTCGACTAAAAAAAACAATGGTTGGAGATCATCTTTGCCATCAATGGTTGGAGATCATCTTTGCCATCGATGGTTGGAGACCATCTTTGCGATCGATGGTTGGAGATCATCTTTGCCATCGATGGTTGGAGATCATCTTTGCCATCGATGGTTGGAGATCATCTTTGCCATCGATGGTTGGAGATCATCTTTGCCATCGATGGTTGGAGATCATCTTTGCCATCGATGGTTGTAGATGATCTTTGCCATCGATGGTTGGAGATCATCTTTGCCATCGATGGTTGGAGATCATCTTTGCCATCGATGGTTGAAGATCATCTTTGCCATCGATACACTTCAACAAGCTGACACATCGATGGTACCTGACACACATCAGTCCATCAGTGCGTGTTGATCGCCAACCTGACACCCCATTGCATTCGCAGGTTGTGAGAATTCTCAGTGAAAAGCCCAGATTCACTTGAGTGCATCAGTGCAGTGCAGTGTGATTTGATTTGATGTGATGTGATGTGATGTGATTTGATGTGATGTGATGTGATGTGATGTGATGTGATGTGATGTGATGTGATGTGATGTGATGTGATGTGATGTGATGTGATGTGATGTGATGTGATCCCCTCATGGCAGCTCAATGGGCGTATGGGCAATCAAGGACCCACCTGCATGGTCCGCATGGCCTTATCATGCATGTGACATGTCAATCCTCTCACGCATGTTGTTTCCCTTCCCCACGCCTTTTACCCCTGTGCATGCTGATCCCCCCATGGCAGCTCAACGGGCGCATTGGCATTGGAGCCACCTGCATGGTCTATGCCCTGTGCACTCTCTCACTGCTTGTGAGTCCCTTCCTTTTCCTCGCATGCAAGCCCATCTGTCTTTGCTTTGACACGTCTCAAACCCTGCATGGTCTACGCCCTCTGCGCTCTCTCGCTGCTTGTAAGTCCCTTCTTCTCCTAATCGTGCAAGCAAGCCCATTCCCCTCCCAATAATCTCTCGGTACACGCGTCTACTCACCTCACAGGGTCTAAGCTGCCTGCTGCAGCCTAAATGGGCATCGCCTCAAGCTATTGCTAGAGCGTTCAGTGCTTGCTTAGGGTGCACATCAGCCACAGGGCACGTCAATCCTGGCATTCAGCTCATTTTCTTTCACAGCTCTGGCAGTCGGTACTGAGTGGGGCGCCCATGCTGGTGGGCTCCTGCAGCGGCGCATGCCCTCTCCAGTGGCAGCAGTGGCGTGGCGGCGAGTGCACACTCCAATAGCCCAGCTCCTCCCTGTTGTGCCCACAATCTCCTCTCTTACTTAACCTCTCGCAGCTCTGGCAGTCGATACTGAGTGGGGCGCCCATGCTCGTGGGCTCCTGCAGCGGATCCTCCCCCGTGGCAGCGGTGGCGTGGCGGCGAATGCACTCGCTGCGTCTGCTGGGATGTCTGCTCGCCTGCCTGGTCGCCTACAGCTGCTGGGTGGGTGTGAGGGAGTGCGTGAATGAGGGAGTGAGTGAGGGAGGGTGTGGGGGAGTGAGGCTGGGCTTTTGTCAACCCTTGTCTCACATGCTCCACCCCACTGCTTCCCTGTGTGATTGTGCCTGCCCCACCAGCTCTGGTTCCCACCGGCCTCTGAGGCAGCGCGGGTGCTACTGCCCTCTGCCACGCCGCTTTACCTCTGGCCGCCTGCCAGCATGGGGGTGCGCTACTGGTGGTGGATCGGGCCCCTCGCCGTGCCCATATTCGCGTTTCTCCTGTTCTGGTACGTGCTGCCGCCACTGTTGCCGGTACCTCCAAACGCGGCTGCCTGCCTGCCAGCAAGGGTGTGCGCTACTGGTGGTGGATTGGTCCGCTTGCCGTGCCCATATTCGCGTTCCTCTTATTCTGGTAAGGGTCGGGCATGCCCACCTCTCCGTTTCCCCTCTTCTGGTGTGTGCAACTCTAGACTGTGCTGGCCCGTCAGCATAAGCAGCTAGCTGTTCCCATTTTTGCCACGCGCTGCCACGCCACTCTACCTCTGGCTGCCCTGCACTGGTGGCCCTGCACTGGTGCATCTGCCTCCGTCACAACCTCCTCCCTACACTCTCATTTTCCCACCTCCCCTTCCACCGTCAAGCACCCCTCTTGCCTTTACACCTACCGCTTTCCACGCTCTCTCCTGCAGCGGGAGTGGCCAGGCAGTCCCGCTGCAGGAGCGCATCTATGTGCATGCGATTGCACTATTGACGAATTCTCAAGAGGGTGGGCTGGCTCGACCACAACGCAACTGCCTCGCTTTTGAGAATTCTCAACGAGCAATTCCCAAATGGCTGCAGGATGACTGCATTCTGCATTCTCAAAGAGCACCTATGTGCGCACGAATGCAGAATGACTGCCTGTCACCTCGACAGACGCCTTATGCATCGGATCCGAGTTTTGAGACGTCTCAAAGCTATCACTGCAGGAGCGCACCGCACCTATTTGCATGCGAATGCACTACGACAGTCCTGTCACATCGATGGGCGCATTCTGCATCCCCTGTCCCCAGCCAACCCTCTTTCTCCCTGTCAGTCCCCTCTCCTGCAGCTCGGACGGCCTAGCACTGGGCTGCAAGAGAGAGTCTCCGTGCAGACCTGCAGTCCTCCTGCGGCCTAGCAGTGGGCCTAGCAGTACGACCTACCTGCTAGCCCGCTCTGCTCCTCCGTCCTCCCCCCATTCTTCTCGTCCCTCTCTCCCCCAGCCCTGCCAAGCTAGCAGGGGCACTGCAGGAGCGAGTCTCTCTACCTGCACTGCGACCTGCCAGTCACCTGCTTCCACCTGATGCAGTCCCTCTACTCCCCCTAACCCCCCCATCTCTTTCCCCCAACCTGCAGCTCTGACGGCCTAGCAGTGGCGCTGCAAGAGGGAGTCTACGTGCAGTACCACCTAACTGCAGTACCACCTACCTGCAGTACCACCTACCTGCAGTACCACCTACCTGCAGTACCACCTACCTGCAGTACCACCTACCTGCAGTACCACCTACCTGCAGTACCACCTACCTGCAGTACCACCTACCTGCAGTACCACCTGCTATTCACAGGCAGCCACTTGTGCAATCCCTCTCCTCTGCCACATCTTCTTCTTTCCCTCTCTCTCCCCCCTGCAGCTCTGACATTCTGGCAGTGGCGCTGCAAGAGCGAGTGTACCTGCAGTTTGGCCTGCCATTCACCTCCCTGGTGCACTACGTCTCCGCCTGGTGCAGTTTGGCCTGCCAGTCACCTCCCTGCCAGTCACCTCCCTGCCAGTCACCTCCCTGCCAGTCACCTCCCTGCCAGTCACCTCCCTGCCAGTCACCTCCCTGCCAGTCACCTCCCTGCCAGTCACCTCCCTGCCAGTCACCTCCCTGCCAGTCACCTCCCTGCCAGTCACCTCCCTGCCAGTCACCTCCCTGGTGCACTACGTCTCCGCCTGATGCTCCGTCTTGCACCACCCCTCGCACCACTCCCTTCCCGCCTTGCAGCTCTGACGGCCTAGCAGTGGCGCTGCAAGAGCGAGTCTATCTACAATACGACCTGCCAGTCACCTCGCTCGTGCTCTACGTGTCCACATCCGCCTTGTTTGTTGACTTCTGGGGTAAGCACGTAACCTGCATTCACCTGCTAGTTGACTGACATTAGAGCTTGCCGCTATCGACCTGCCACTCACCTTGCTCGTGCTCTATCTGTCCACAACCACCTTGTTTGTTGACTTTTGGGGTAAGCACGTAACCCCACTTCCTCGTTGCGTAAAATGTGTTCAGAGTAGACTCAGTACGACCTGCTAGTCACATCACTGGTGCTCTACGTGTCCACATCCGCCTTGTTTGTTGACTTCTGGGGTAAGGAAGCACGTAACATGCATTCACCTACCAGTCAGCATTAGAGCTTGCCGCTATCGACCTGCCAGTCACCTCGCTGGTGCTCTATGTGTTGTTGACTTCTGGGGTAAGTACCTCTGCTTCCTTGTTGCGTACATTACCCTTGTTTTTGGTCAGCATTCCCGTCAATCTATCTCCACCCATCCTTCGTCCAACCCTTCCACCCGAACGTTTTTCCAACCCTAAATGGCAGCTTTTCTCTCAAAATACTTTCGGCATGGCCGCAACCCCGACCCCCTGTATGCACCATCTCCCACATGCCCCAAACCCCTCCTTCCACCACCCCCCCCCCCCCCATGCCAGCGTTTGCCTTGCGCGACCACTTGGACCGCGCCTTTGGCTTCGTGTTTGACTGCCCGCACTGAATCTAGATGCCAGCACTTACCAACCCTCTTGAACACCCCCCCCACGTGCGCCAACCCTCATACACCAGCGTTTGCCTTCAGCGATCACTTCGACCGCGCATTTGGCGTCGTGTTTGACTGCCCGCACCAACCCTCCCATGCCAGCATCTACCAAACCACTTCACCACCCCCCTCCCCACATGCGCCAACCCTCATACACCAGCGTTTGCCTTCAGTGACCACTTCGACCGCGCCTTTGGCTTCGTCTTTGACTGCCCGCAGTGCCTGCTGTACCTCGTGCTCGCATCCGTGGTACGTGTGTGTACGTGCTGGTATGTGTACATGTGTACGTGCTGGTATGTGTACATGTGCACGTGCTGGTATGTGTACATGTGCACGTGCTGGTATGTGTACATGTGTACGTGCTGGTATGTGTGCATGTGCACGTGCTGGTATGTGTACATGTGTACGTGCTGGTATGTGTACATGTGCACGTGCTGGTATGTGTGCATGTGCACGTGATGGTATGTGTACATGTGTACGTGCTAGTATGTGTACATGTGTACGTGCTGGTATGTGTACATGTGCACGTGCTGGTATGTGTACATGTGTACGTGCTGGTATGTGTGCATGTGCACGTGCTGGTATGTGTACATGTGTACGTGCTGGTATGTGTACATGTGTACGTGCTGGTATGTGTACATGTGCACGTGATGGTATGTGTACATGTGCACGTGCTGGTATGTGTACATGTGTACGTGCTGGTATGTGTACATGTGCACGTGCTGGTATGTGTACATGTGTACGTGCTGGTATGTGTACATGTGCACGTGTGGCTGTGCATGAGTGTGTGGTAGCGCCTTAGGTTTCCTCCCTGACTGCCCGCAGTGCCTGCTGTACCTTGTGCTCGCCTCTGTGGTACGTATGTGTGACCCGCACATGCTGATGTGAAACACATACCGCACATACCGCACACATATCACATACACAACAGATACCACACACATGACACATCACACACATCCCTTCACCTTCCCTCCATCCTTTCACCTTCCCTCCGTCCCTGCACCCTCTCTTCATCCCTCCATCCCTTCAGTGTTTCAAACCCTTCAGTGTTTCAAACCCTTCAGTGTTTCAACCCCTTCAGTGTTTCAACCCCTTCAGTGTTTCAAACCCTTCAGTGTTTCAACCCCTTCAGTGTTTCAAACCCTTCAGTGTTTCAACCCCTTCAGTGTTTCAACCCCTTCAGTGTTTCAAACCCTTCAGAGTTTCAATCCCTTCAGTGTTTCAATCCCTATCTATGGCCACAGCATGACCCACCCTCGTCCCCTTTCCCTCATATCACTCTCCCTGTCTCATCGCCTAACCTCACCTTCCCCTATTAATAAATGCACCCCTTGCTGATGCCCCTTCCACCCCCCTCCCTCTCTCCCTTACCTCTGCCCTCCCCTCTCTCATTCCTTTCCTCCCGGCCCCCCCCCTCCAACTGGAGCCATCGACGCTGGCAGCCTGTCTAACAGCGTCCCAGCTGTTGAGAGTCCCGGTCTGTCAAACATACCCCTCCGCTTTCTCACTCCTTCTCCTCCTCCCGCCCTTCCTCTCCGCCCCCTCCCACGGCAGCCATCAGCGCTGGCAACCTTCCTCACGGCGCTGCTGCTGAGAGTCTCAGGCGGGCTCGTCTCCTCTCTCGTCTTGCGGGTGAGCCCCCGCCCCTCTGCTTCTCGCCCGCGGCTCCTCCTCTCCTCTCCATTGCCTGCCCCCTCTCTCTTGAAGGAGGCCCTGAAACTGATAGGTGCTGCTGAGAGTCTTCGGCGGGCTGGTCCCTTGTCTCGCCTGGCGGGCGGGTGAGCCATCCACCATCACATGGAAACGCCGCATATGTGCAATGAAGTCACTTGTGACTTGGCGTAGCAACGACTGCTGCCAAAAGAGGAAAGTGTGGGGTATTTAGCTTCCTAGTCTCTCCTCTCTTGCCTTGCAGGTGAGTTTCCCATCACCACTGCTTTTGCACCCCCCTTCTTTGTTTCTGTAACTCAAGCAACACTTCCCGAGTCCCTTACTTCCCTAGTCTTCTTTGTTTGCCCCTACCGTCCCTCGCTTTCCTATCCTTCCTCTACATCCCTCACTTGCCACACGCCGTCCCTGAGTGCAAACCATCACGATCCCCATTTTCTTCCCTCTGGACCTTGGCCCATGCTTTAGCTTTCTCTCTCTGCTCCGTTCCCTCCCTCCCTCCTCCCTCCCTCCCTCTCTTCTCCCTTCCCTCCCTCCCTCCTCCCTTCCCTCCCTCCCTCTCTCCTCCCTTCCCTCACTCCCTCCTCCCTTCCCTCCCTCCCTCCTCCCTTCCCTCCCTCTCTCCTCCCTTCCCTCCCTCCCTCCTCCCTTCCCCCCCTCCCTCCTCCCTTCCCCCCCTCCCTCCTCCCTTCCCTCCCGCACTCCTCCCTTCCCTCCCTCCCTCCTCCCTTCCCTCCCTCCCTCCTCCCTTCCCTCCCTCCCTCCTCCCTTCCCTCCCTCCCTCCTCCCTTCCCTCCCTCCCTCCTCCCTTCCCTCCCTCCCTCCTCCCTTCCCTCCCTCTCCGGCCCCATCCGTCCCTCTCTGCCCCATGCAGGTCGTCATGATCCTCCTTCTCTTCCCTCTGGACCCCTTTGCACCGCTCTGGAAAGTGCCTCAAATTCTTACAGGCGTGGTAAGCACGATACGCCCTCTACCATCGTCACCTTCTCTATCATCCTCCCAACCCCTCTACCATCCTCCTAACCACTCTGCCATAACGCTCTGCATCTGAAGTGGGTTCCTCCCAGCTCATTGGTATGAGAAGTGTTTTTCCGCTGGCCTTGTGGTGAGGCTCATTGTTCCTCATGAGCTGCGCTGCACATACGTCCAACCCTCTCAAAGCACTTGCCACCCAATCTGTTGCTCCAATTCTGAATTGACACAGCATGAACTCGGTAGTGAACGCCAGCACTTCCCCTCTCTCGGCATGTTGCATTATTAACAGATGACTGTCCCGTTTGTTTCCCAACATGCTGCGCTCCTCCTCCTGCCTCCTGCTCTTGCCTCCTCCTCCTGCCTCCTTCTCCTGCCTCCTCCTCCTCCTCCTCCTCCTCCTCCTCCTCCTCCTCCTCCTCCTCCTCCTCCTCCTCCTCCTCCTCCTCCTCCTCCTCCTCTCCTCCTCCTCCACCCCACTTACAACCATTCTCTCCTCCCTATTCACAATCAACCCCATCCCCGCTTTCAGGGCGTAAGGTGGCGACTTCTCCCTCCCCGTCCCCTTTTCAGAGTATAATGGTGGTGGCAATGTGCCTCTCCTAACAACCTAGGCCCCCCACATTCCCACTTGCCCCTCCTCATCATCTCTACCCCTTACGCCACCCCTCTTCAAGGCATAATGACGGTCATGCTCTCCCCTCAGAAACGGCATCCCTCACTTTCTCGCATCCCCTGAATCATCTCAACACACTTTCTCTTTTCCACCCATTTACTCTCCACAATCTCCCTTTCCGCTCCCTCTTCTTCAGGGCAAAATGGTGACCATGCTCTCTCTTTCTGACTGACGTCCCTCACTTTCTCACTAGCCCCTGCTCATCTCACACCCTTTCTTACTTGTCTCCTCCCACCACAATCATCCGTCTCCCTCTTCCCCTTTAACAGGGTATAATGGTGACGTTCCTCACTTGCTCTCTCTTGTTAACTAACGTTGCTCACTTTCTCATTGCCCCCCTGCTCATCTCTGCACCCCACTCCCTCTCTCACTCTTTCCATCAGGGCATAACGGTGGCAATGGTTGCTCTCTTAATAACTGACGTCCCTCACTTGCTCTCCTCCTCCTCCTCTTCCTCCTCCTCTTCCTCCTCCTCGTCAACCATCCTCACATCCTCCACGGCTGTTCTGCCAGTTAGTAGTGGAGGTGGCGGATCAGGGTCGGCGGTTACCAGTCCTGGCAAAGGCAGTAATGTGGTTACCATCGAGGCTCCCGATGAGTGAGCTGCTCTGCTGCGCTGCTGCTCCTCCTCCTGCGCCCCTGGCGGTGGGGGGTTGTCGGATCAGTGTCGGCGGTTACCAGTCCTGGCAAGGGCAGTAATACGGTTACCATCGAAGCCCCCGACGAGTGAGCTGCCCTGCTGCTGCTGCTGCTGCTGCTAGTCCTGACGATTCTGCTGGTGGTGGGGTTGTGGTTTGGTCTGTTGCCTGCTGTTGCTGCATGATCTTACCTTACCTGATCTCTCGGTGCAGTTTTAGCTGCCGGCTAGATGATATCATGGTGCCTTACCCTTGTGGCTCGTACTTTAAGTTGCACCCATTTACGCTATTAAAATGTTAATTTTATCTAGGGCAATGATGTTTCACGTCACCTGAGAGGAGTTGTGATCACGCCGAATTACAAAAACTAAAACTGCTTGACCCCGATATAGTTACTGCACACACAGTATCCTGCAATATGTTGGTTCGTGCCTTCAATGTTCAGAGCGCAAAATGAGCTGGTTGAAACAGGATTGATTTGAATTAAACGATTTGAGAAGATTGCTCATAGCCAAAAGGTGTACTTGAAGCTGGTTGATTCAAGTATTGCACAGCTGTGTTGCTGACGTGCTGACTCTCGAGGCGCTAGCGCTTCGATATCAATCATCTGACGTCAGCTGGGCCAGCCGCGCCGTCGCTTGTACATCTTGGTGGTGAGGTGAGGTGGTGGTGACCCAAGTAGGGAAAGGGAGAAAGGACGTGGCGGCCAACACTCGCTGGCCACGATTTCCGCTCCCAATGTCAACCCGTTTGCCACCTCAGCAAGTTAAAGTCGCGATTCGCAATTTCACAAATTCACAATTGGCACAAAAATATGCTTCCGAAGTGCGAGCAAAACCTCGTTGGCAATGGCGTTTCCAGCTTTCACCGTGTATGTTTTCTCGTCGAGTTGTTGTGACGCGAGTTCGGCTGATTTGGGAATGTCGTCCAAGCCTGAACAACGCAGCAAGAGGGCATTTTTTCCTGAACGACCGGAAAATGGCAATTCTGGCGGAGCCGCTAGTGGCCCTTTCACCTTTCAAATGCGCCTGTCGCAAACTAGACAGCACTAGAAGTCCGACCCGCAGGTCTTACCTTCCCTGCACCTCACTATTGCCAGCTTCGCAAGCATCGCGCCGCCACTCGAACCATGGAAGCGCTCGTGTGTTAGATATAAAGCAAAATATCAGCGGCGATAGATATATCGTTCTCCTGACAAGGGTTTCCAGCAACAATACATAGATAGTCTCACTGCAGTGCCTGAGACAGGACTCAATCATCGACTCTAAAAAATTTATAGATTATATATTTTCGTAGTTCGTGTATAGCAGCGACAATGACTCTCCTCTCGCTCGTCGTCCTCGTCTCACTTTATGCCTCCGCCGCAATTCCCCCCTCCAGCGCCGTCCCTCTGCTCCCCTCGCAAGAGAAAGCGCTACTCTCCTTGGAAACCGCGTGGGGAAGCTGCACAGTAACTAACACATGGGTCGCCGGCACTGACTGCTCGAAATGGTCTGGCGTCGTCTGTAACGACGGCGGGATGGTCACCCAGGTCTACATCAGCGATTACTCGTGCACCGGCGCGTTGACGGAATCCGTCGGAAATCTGACGGAGGTGACGCTGCTCGACTTTTCCAATAATTGGCGCATCGGAGGAAGCTTACCCAAAAGCCTCGCGAAACTCCAGAAGCTCGAATCGCTCAGCATTCGCGACAATATCCATGGGAGCCTCTCGGGAGGCCTTCCGGATTTCCTCGGGAAACTCGCGCGGCTCACGTACCTGGGGCTCCGCGGAACGGGGCTTACGGGGAGCATTCCGCGCGGGCTTGCGCGGCTGAACCGCCTCGAGTTCCTCGACCTGCAATGGAATCGTCTCGACGGCGGAATCCCCCCGGAATTGTCCAGCATGGCGGCGCTCAGCGTGCTTGACTTGGGCGGAAATAGGTTGACCGGGTCGATTCCACCGACCCTCGCGAAAATCAAGAGCCTGAAGCGGCTGATTCTCGGGAATAACAAACTCTCGGGTGAACTCCCCGTGTCCGTTATACTCGCTATAAAGAGCCTCGAGGAGGTGGATCTGCGCAGCAATCGGTTCACTGGTTCGTCTATCGGCGCCCTTGCTGTCCATTCGGCTCTGGCGGACATAAACCTTAGTTGGAATCTTCTTACGGGCAGGATTCCGTCCAAGTTCGGGCAGATGAAAAAGCTGGCGAGTCTGCGATTGGCTGGGAATAGGTTCAAGGGAACAGTCCCTGCGGCTCTGTTGAAAGACATGCCAAACCTGCATACCTTGGATCTTTCCTTCAACAGGCTAGGAGGGGAGTTTCCCTGGGCGAACTTGAAAACCACCCCGGTTATCGAACATCTTTACCTCCAGCGCAACGCGTTTGTGGGCGCGATTCCTGCAGACGCGTTTCAGAAGGTCCACGTGGCAAGTTTCAACATCTCCTTCAATCTCTTCTCCGGGCCCATGCCGAATCTAGGGTTCATGGGTGGAGAAGAGGAGCCGCCGGTAGACGTGCGCGGGAACTATTTCTGGGGCAGCCCGGAGTTCATAATGTCCAACCGGAAGGTCTGCCCGGAGGAGGGGCAGGAGGATCCCGACTCAGGTGACGACGAGTATCTTGCGGCGCTGAATTGCCTCGGAAAGAGCGCCACGTGTAACATGAAACAGCAGCGGAGCGCGGCGGCGTGCAGTTGGTTTTGCGGCACGAGTGCGACAAATGGGCCGTGCTCGGGACATGGTGTGTGCGTTCCAGCAGGAAAGGAGCAGTTCAAGTGCAGGTGTGCAAGTGGGTACAAATCGGTGCAGGGAAAGCCGCACGAGTGCGTCAAGGCATGAATACACCAGTGATTTCCTCTACTAATAAGGCCTGTGCGTGTGCGCGATTCTCGCCTAGGAGCGTGAAGCAGGCAATTATGCGGTTCGTGAAATATGTGCTTGTCCGGTGTAAATATGCCAGTTGACAATATTATTCCCCTAAAACTGCTGCATGGCCGAGCGCTCTAAAGCAGTTTCGTGTGCTCACAGAGATTAATTCAAACATGCGCATCCAAACTGTCACAGACTGCATGTTATGAATCAACTTGCAGAGTGCGCAGTAAAACGAATAACGAGAATGGAAATTACTGAATTACTGAATGAAGAAACAATGAAGTAGGGAGGCCTAAATAGGGGACAAGCTAGCTAGGCGGTGGGTTCGGGATGGGATGGCTCGGTGATGGTTGCGATTGGAGCGGAGGCCGACTCGGGGGTGATTCGGTGCGACGAAATAGGCAAGACAGGTTCGTCGCGTGACCCTCGGGATTGCCTCGCTAACGAGTGCCTCAGTAAGGATTTGTAAATCCTTACACTGCATGGTTGGATGATTATCGCAGAGTGTCATCAAGCTTATACCGGTAGGTTTAAACTCTGGTATATTGGAGTATACAGTGCTTTTGACATAGAGAAGCAACACTTTATTAGGTGCTGTAAATGGCACCAAGTGTATGGTAATCCTAAACTATGGGCTAAAGGGAGAGCGGGAGGGGAAGGTGGGGGTGGAGACGGGGGAGGGGTTCTACTTGCAAACGTTGGGGGAAATAGAAGCTAGGGTTTCAGCACTTGGTTGGTGCAGGCTTGCAGGAGAAATCCACAGTTGTGGAACCACTGCACATGATAGGAGAGAGAAAGAGGGAGTAAGGGAGATATTTCAGACAAGAGAGGGTTTTCAAAGCACTACCTGTCATATACCCCAAAGGCTGAAGAAGGCACTAAAAGAAGGCTGTCGATAAGAATTTGAAATGCGGTTCAGTAGGCTTGTTGCGACTTACTAGTTATCCTTGTGGTCGTCAATGGTGCGTGATCCGCTGCCGGAGTATGCCCATATAATCTTGTTCTTTCCCTTGTACACCACCGTCGCTATGCCTTCCCCATCTGCCTTGCTTCGGCCAAATCTGCAGAGGCAAATAAGACGTTATGTGAGGAAGACACCTCCTGGGTACTAGAAACAGTGAGGTTGGAATGGAAGTCAGCGGCCCACATTCCCTCAACATGCTCACATTCTCAGTTCTCACAAATTCGCACGCTCATTCGTTATCCTCACACCCCATCCCTCATACTAACGTACTTCATAACGACGCCACTTGATGACGTCAGCAGCTCTGGCTGCCCAATGGCGAACCGCGAAGTGACTGAGATCTTGCTCGCACTGTACCCTGATACAGCGTAACTCGCTACAGGCAACAGGCCTTTCACGTTCCCAATAACGGCGTCCGAAGGGACCATAGAGCTGGATCCAGACCATCCCACGCTAAACCACCCCTTCTCCGCCCCGCTGCCTGTTTTCGCCTCAACCGCCAGAGCTACACTCGTATCAGAGGTCACCTTCCAATGAAGAAGCAGTCTGTAACGGGGACAGGGCAGAAGTGTATATGGAAAGATAAGGCATGAGGACGATTGTAGCTTTTGTGGCTCCTGTTTATCGAATGTAAAAAGGAGCGAAGGAGGAATCGTCATATATAAACTTACCCTTTGCCATTTAAGTCGACATAGGAAGTGTAGCCAGCCAGAGTCGACGCCTTGCAAGAGCTGCTGCTACTACCGGAGGTGCTCTTACAGGGGGTGCTCACGGGGTTCATCACATCAGTCGGAGGCGGGGGCGAGGGCGAGGGCGGGGGCGGGGACGGCTTGGGGGACTTTGGGGGAGATTTCGGAGATTTGGGGGGAGATTTGGATTTGGATGGAGATTTGGATTTGGGGGGGGGAAGGGGATTTGGCGGGGGAAGGGGTTGTAGTGGCGGAGGGCGCTTTGGAGGGGGAGGCGGGCGCGGCGGAATCAGAGGCGGAAGCGGATCCAGGCTTGCAGGAGAAATCGACAAGGACCCATCCCCTGAGATAGGAAGGGGCGGCAGGGCGGGGTGGGCGAAGAAGGGGGAGGGGGCGGAAGAAGGGGAGAGGGGAGAAAACGGGGAGAGGGGGGCGGGG